GTGCTATGCTTTGATTGTTGTGCTGCCCTCTAAGTTGAAAGCTATGTTGCATCCTTTTTTCCATCTTTCATGCTCACTCTGTGAAAGTACATCCCTCATACCTGAAAAACATCTGCATGTTTGCCTCGGAGCTAAGATTTTTCTGAAAGGGTGTAGGACAAAGAGGCAGGGAAATCCCCAAAAGTTAAGTAAGGAGTATAAAAGCTTGAAGGGAGAACAAGTGGATGATATTTCTAATTAGTCCTTTGTTTTTATACGTAGAGAAACCTTTGGAGGACATGGGTTCATCCTTACAGAAAAGAGACAATGGGTGCACTGGATCTTGGAGGAGCTTCCACTCAGATTTCATTTATTACAGAGGACTCTCAGGAGGACTCTCAGGAGAACTTAAATAGAACCTTGCAAGTGAAGTTGTACGGTTACAACTACAATGTCTACACTCACAGCTTCCAGTGCTGCTGGAGGAGCTTCCACTCAGATTTCATTTATTACAGAGGACTCTCAGGAGGACTCTCAGGAGAACTTAAATAGAACCTTGCAAGTGAAGTTGTACGGTTACAACTACAATGTCTACACTCACAGCTTCCAGTGCTGCGGGAGAGATGAAGCTGAGAAAAGGCTTTTAGCATTGCTGCTCCAGGTCTGTTTAACCCCTTGCTATGTTGCTCTTGCAGGTGTTCAGTAATTGTCTGAGGTTCTTGTTTCTTGTGTTTGCTTCCCTTTGGTGGAGTTTGGAGACCCCAGTAAGAGCTCTCTTGTGCTTAGTTGTGGACAAACACACCAGGTTTCATACAAAGATCCTCATAGCTGTTAAAAATTGTTGAGTTTTGTACCATTTGACAAAAAGGCCCGACTAGTCGTGTAAGTGTTTTGCTGGTCTTGCCAGTGCTTTTTTGAGGGAAGAATTTCTATGGATGACAACGATCAGCAATGTTGTACTGTTACCAGTCATGACAGAGAACAAAAATACTTGGATGCGTGGTTTAAAAAGATTCCCATAGTTACTGTCAAATTGGGTCTTTCTTGCTTTTGAGTAGCCTTTACTGGGTTTGATGTTTTCTTTTCCAGAATCAAACTCCAGTTCCATTATGGATAATCCATGTTACCCTCAGAATTATCATACTGCATTCACAATGAAGCACCTCTCTGGCAGCCTTTGTACACAGTCTCTGAGATCAGCAAATTACTACCCAAATGAGCTTGTGCACTTCCATGGAACAGGCCATCCAGATCTGTGCAAGGAGATGGTTTCTTCATTGTTT